ATTATGTTATAGTCGTCGCACCCGTGCAACTTTCTGTTGGTTGTGTACAGTGGTGGTGGGCATGGCTACAATCTTCCAAACTGCCTATACACCCTTATAGGGTAGTGCATCTCGACCACATGGAAGAAAATTAGTGGCCCGTTAAAAAGCCACTCATCCGACTCTTCCTTAGTGCGAGGACTCAGGTACCCCTCTAGCTCGAATCTGGACCAAGGACACCAATTCACCTGAAAGTTAGGTAACTAGAGTTAGGTTTTGGGAATAATAAAAAAGCAACAACACCGACTAGCAGTATCAAAGTGGTCGTTACCTGGTGCTGTGTTAGGACGTCTAGCGTGTTCGAGTACTGCCTGTTCCGCTGCTTCGGGTTCCCTCTAACTACCTCCGCTTCTTACTAGATGTACAGAGCAGTCGGTCCTACATCCACGTGATTCCATGCTTGCATTGAATAGGATAGTCAGTCACGAGCGTGGCATCAAGTTTGAGGAAAATAAAAAATCGATGCACTTACAGGTAAACCGTGAACAACGGGCCTCCTGGCTGGCCATCGCTCCCAACACCAAACCTGTAGTAGGTGGGAGCAACCGCCTAGGTTGGCACCGCCAGTACTGCGTCGGCAGGCAACACAGAGCTGATGATAGATCCATGCTAGGACCACACTGCCCCAGCTGTATGCTCCTATATACTCCCATAGCTAGCTCAGTATGTTGAGGAAGGCCCAACTGACGGTGTTACCCGATGTGTCGGGGAACAGGAAGGCGCCTAAGAAGTGCCACAACCACACCCTAGCATACCTCTCGATCTCCTGCTCTGGAGCGTCTGGGTGCAACGGCGCCCCAAAGTTTTCTGTTATCCAGACCGAACTGACACCGGATGTTTTCCTAAAACTTTTGAAGGACAATTACATGAGAGCTAAGGGAACAAAAATAAACATTAAATTAGACAAAGACAATACGCATCATAAAAGTTATGTACTACACCCTCCATTTAAATAGCAAAATAATTTGTAGAATATGTAGATCAACGACAGACTTAGACCATAACATATATTTGTGATATAAGAGACCAACCAAAGACTTGCATGTGCTGGTGTCAAAATGGTAAATGTTTGGAACATAGAAATTCTTACTTTGCTCTCTTAGCATCCTTGTCCTCGGGTGGTCTTCTACCATAGAACTGCTCCACCAAGTCCATCCAGTGATCGTTATCAAGGATCCTAGTCACTGGAAGACCCCCCAACCGTAGATATAGAATCATCTTCACATCCTGCATTGTGATAGTCATCTCTCCGCAAGGAAGGTGGAAGGTGTGGGTCTCTAGCCTCCACCTATGGGTTTTTAATTCAATACATTAAGTTTTTTAATTCAAACAATGAGACAAATCAATGCTTTGTACTTCTCCAAACATGTATCAAATCATACCTATCGACAGCAGTAGTGAGAAGTGCAGGGTCGAGGATCGGTAGCCTAGTGTTGAAGACCCGGACGATCTCAAGGAAGCTGGCACACTGTATGTACAGCTGGTATCGCTTGTCCTAGTGGTGCGGCCAGTGCGTGCGTAGTCTAAGAGGAAGCAAGTCCTCCGAAAGCTCCGACAGGTGCTTGGCTCAGTGGTCCTTGTCGTAGTGCACCTCAAGAATGGGGTACTATGGATGATGATCCCCCATCCTGGTTCAAATGTCAAATGGATGTGTTAGAACAAACATTAAGAGTATTATAATATGATGGAACATTAGTGCATAAAAACAAAGTAAATGTAAAAGGAATAAACTATTATGCAAAATGAGAGAATAAACATATATCATAATTGGTACTAATATAATAAAATGTATGCTATATGCACCTGCTGCCCTTGTCTTCTATGCCTGCTAGCCTTGCGACCAGGTTCTTTGCAAATGGAGCAAAGATTCCTGCCATGGGTCTCATTGAAGTCTCCCCCTCCATACATGTCTTTGCCATACCCTCTCATAGCGTCCATGTCCCCCTTGAGTCGCTTCTTCTTCCTCCTACCCTTGCCTACCTTCATTAGATCTGGATGCGGCATGTAGTCATAACCATGATAAGGTGGCCACTGTGTCAGGTCAAGGTATGGCTCGAAGCTCCTCTCCCAAATACTAACGGTGTTCGAACGGAGATACAAGGGTGACATATATGGTAGATCCTCAAAGTTATACTCGTGAACCCTACAGGCCATGATCATATGAGAGCAAGGGGCATGCATGATCTGAGGGACGTTGCAACTGCACTCTACTTTGTTAAGATCAACTCAGTAGTTTCGTCCACCATAACGTTTGCCGCCCAAGCTTGTGCCACCCTTGCCATATACAGTGAAGATATGGCGGTGGGGTCCATACGGCTCGACGGTGTGTTGCTTGGCCAATTCCTCGGCCTCCTTCAAATGTTCTGCTCTAGCCTTTCCAAATTGCCCCTGCTCAACTATATTCCTCTATGCAAGTTCCCACCTCTTGACAAAATATTCATTGCACTTATGAAAGGAGAACTCAACAATTCCATACATAGGCAACGATCGAACTCCGGTGAATACACGGTTGAAAGACTCCGAGGAGTTAGTGGTAATGATGACATACCTGAAACCCCCCTCGTCATATGCTAACGCCCACTTAGCCTTCTGTTCCATCTACGCCTCTAACCAGACCTTGCCCGCTTCATTTAGCATCTTGTCTAGTTCTCTCTTTGTCTCCTTGAACTGGTGCTCTGTACGTACACAACATAGAGCCTTTACCTTATCACATACCTCATTCTTCCTCTAACGCCGCTAGAAATTAGCGGCAAAGTGTCTCATGCACCATCTGTGCACTAGAGGCGGGAACCCAACTATATGCTTAGCTACAGCATTAAGAAGCCCTAGGTGATGGTCTGAGATCAAACATATAGTGCGAGATGGGCCAAGCACTTGTGCACACAGAAGCTGCATGAACCATGACCATGATTCATTGTTCTCTCCCTCTGCCAAAGCAAAAGCCATGGGTACTATCTGGTCCTCCGGATCAACAGCAGCAGCCATCATCAAGGTGCCCCTGTACTTTTCTATCAGGAAAGTGCCATCAACAAGTATGACTGGCCGATAAAACTGGAATGCATGTTCCATTTACGCGAACGACCGGAACACACGATGCAGGACATGCCTCAACGGGTCCCATAAATACATCCCTCTGGTGTCCACAAACCATTTCAAGCCAGGATTGTAGTAATACATTACACATAAGATGTGGGGCACCCTATTGTACGCTTCCTCCCAACTACCCCAACTAATTGCCAGGGCAATTTGCTTAGCACGCCAAGCCTTTCCATACTTCATATCATACTTAACGAATCTAGATATGGACTATTGTAACGAAAACACCAAAATGTCATTATTGTCATCAACGAGCCCCAATATACGACGGGCAAGGTAACGTGCAGTGAGTTACTGATGATTTTCCTTCCCCTATTTGATAGGCAAGTGTGGGGTTCGACCACTTTACTTATCCTCCACTTGCCATCATTCTATCTCTTTCATGCATTTAACCTCCACATACAACCATTTTTGCATATCACGTGGTACCTCAACTCCTGGTCCAAATGAGTGACGTTGTACGGCCTATGGTGATACACAGCATAGTCCTGAAGGAAGAGCTTCATCTCTAACATTGTATTGAATATCATCCCCTTACTAAGGATTTCTTTCTCATGGTCATACAATGATTTCCTACACATCTGGAGACCGGTGTCACAAACTGCCATATCCGTCATGCTGACATCCCTATAGTTCGGAACGCCCCTGAAAGGTACGTTCATCGACCTTAGTTGCTCAAGCTCTGTCGCTATGTAAGGTGGTGGTGGAACATACTACTGTGCTTCGCTAATTCTACCCCATGAATCATATGGGGTATCATCAGCTGGCAAATCTGTGACTAGTCTACCCTGAGCCGACATAGCATGCAAAACCTCAGTTGGTACTAGTAATGGCATACCATGAACAGGTACTGGCATGGCATCAACCAGTGTGGGCATAGCATGTCTACCTCCCTGGTCATCATCTGAATCGTCTGAATCACTGCTAACTACATCATCGATCCTGTCCTCCTCCTGCACCTCCTCTTCCCGTTTGAACTCGTTCACATCGAAGTCATTGCTTATACAGCCTACTTGACTTGAATGAAACTACTGCTGCATCAACTGACCATCCAAATCCATAGTACCCATAGTTGGTTCCACATGAACCCCACATTCTTGTTGAGTATCATCATCGAAGGACAGCCCCTCCTGGAGATCATGCATCCTATACCCATTCTCCACAACCACCTCAGCCAAGGCCACATTCGAACCTTGGATTACCTTATTGTAGTAGGACCAGTGAGCATGGTCCCGCAAGGGCATCAACACATAGTGTGCCCTAGTCTTTCTAGTATCAAACCTCCCCTTCAGTCTATAATCACCGCCAAACTTTCCATTCAAATGACCACAAAGATCGCTGAAGCTAGGAGGTTTATCAAACCATTCCAATTCTTCTTCCATATCCTCAAACATACCATCTTCTCTCCAAACACTTCCTCCGTAGAAAACTCTAACACAACAATCCATCTACAAAAGCATTTCAGAAACTTCATAAGGTCATCGAAATCGTCGTGCGTACTAACTAACTAACTACACCTATACCAACTAACTATACTAGCTAATCTAATATTAATACCTATACCAACAATTCTAACTAACTATACTAACTAACTACACTAAACACACTAATATTAATACCTATACTTACTATACTAAGTAACTTTACTAACTATACATATCTAGCTAACTGCAAAACTAACTGCAAAACTATACATAACTTATATTTACTAACTTCACTAAATATCTTTGCTAACTAATTATATAAATCTCTATCCAGTCAAACTAAATTCGAATCCTAACCCTAGCAAAAAAATTGATAGAGATGCAGAAGAGCATTACCTCGATAAAGATTATGGGTCACCCCAATCCACCAATGGAAAGGAGATGGCCGTCGGCGGCAATAGCCGGCCGGCAGCAGCCTACTTCTGGAGGGCGGCGGCAAAGGCCAGCCGGCCGGCGGCAATCCCCCTTTTGGAGGACGACGATGGGCAGCGCAGCAATGTCCTTCATAGCTTGAGACTGTGCGGAGAGATGGAGGGGCAGCGTGCGGCAGTGGGGAGATGGAGGGGTGCCAACGGTAGTAAGGGAGGCAACAAGATAGGGGGAGATGGAGATGGAGTGAGGGAGGATGGGCTCATGGCGACGGGTGTGGTGGGGGCGTGGTGGCCAGGGTCACGGTGGGTGGGAGTGCCGAGGGCACATCGAGCGCGCTGGGCGGGGCACGGTGGGCGTGGCGGCCGTGGGCTCATCGAGTGAGCACGGTGGGTGGGAGTCGTGGCGGCGCATTTTCTCACCTAAGGATGGAGACACTGAGAGAGGGAACAAGGGGTCTGTCACACCATGATGCGTGGCGCGGCAGCCCCACACCGTGACGGGTGGCACATCAGACCTGCCATGTTGAAAGGTCCTTGTGTGGTTTTGGTAATTGAGTGACAACCTAGGTGGACTAATTGTGTTTATGTGAGATACACAGGTGATTAGTCCACAAGTACATGTGTGTGAGCAACATATGCCATGAAGGTGAAAATGGCTCAGAGATGTTGCAAAGCTCACACATGTGATGATGAAGGAGCTCATTGCACATGAGACATGACATTGAGTCATGTGATCAAGGTGGAGAAGATCAAGACATGACTTGGCTTGATGGACCGGTTGCAAGCGTGAAGGGCAAGTTGGAGCCTTGGAGCGATGGACTGCATGGCGGTGAAGCTTGAGCAAGACTTAGCGCCGATGGACGAAGGCAATGGTGAAAAACAAGTGAAGTCAAGATCGATGAACCAATATGATCACGTGATGATATGAAGTGGATCATATCATTGTTGATCATGTTGGTGCATGTGTTGCATCGATATTGGAGGAGATGGAATGGAATGCGCAAGGCAAAGGTATAACCTAGGGCATTTCATTTTACCGGTCATAGGTGTGTAGAGAAGTTGATGATCGGATTTAGGATAGATGGCCGTACTATCAAGAGGGGCAAACTTATTTGCATATCGGTCATCTAGTGCCACTCGAGTGATCTAACTTTGCATCGTTGCTAGGATCGAGTGGCGTGGCAAGTTGAGTGGCTAATCCTTTGGAAAATGTTTGTGAGAATATGCTAACACGCATGCACAAAGGTGATACACTTTGTGTTTAGCACTTGGGAGCAAGGGTTCAAAACTTCATCGGTGAAGTGTCCGCCCATAGAGTGTGCCCTATACAGAAAAGACAGGGTTTCATAGAGTGCACCAGACGCTGGTCATGTGGTGACCAGACTCTGGGGAGCAGCGTTCTGTCAATTATAAAAGAAGGTGCTACTCTCGTCCTAAGACTGGACACAGGCGATCGGACTCTGGTTGCACACTGTTCAGCGTCCGGTCCCGCTGACGTGGCAGCGCAGAGAAGAGGAGAAGGACCGAACGCTGATGCTGTGTCCGATCATGACTGACTGGACATGTTTGGTCGTAGTTGAGCAGCTCAGGGAGCTCTCTAGACTCGACTAGATGCTGCCCCTCCTGCGTCCGGTCGTAATCAATCTGATGCGTCCGGTCGTGAATGGAACCTCTCTAGAAATGACCGAACTCGGCAGAGGTGCATCCGGTCTTGGCACTGTGCTGCGTCTGGTCATCACTTGACCATTGAGATCAAGCGACTGAGGTTGAACGGAGGTGACACATGGCGTGCATTTGTTGACCGGACGCTGGCAGGGTGCGTCCGGTCGATCTGACTGGAGCATCCGGTCGCCCCGAGCTGTGCCCAGTGAAGGGGTACAACGGCTCTATTTTCGTGGGGGCTATAAATAGAAGGGGGTCTCGGCCTTGGGCTATAAGCTGAGCACACTAGAGCCTTGGTGGCTTATATGGTAGTGCTTGGGAGCCCTCTAACTCACTCTAGTTTGATAGTGTTCATCCGATTAAGTGAGTGAGTGATTCTAGTGCGGTTGCATAATGAGGTTGCATCAAGTGGCACTAGATGGTCGTCTTGCAAGCCGGTGGTGCTTGTTACTCTTGGAGGTTGCCACCTCCTAGATGGCTTGGTGGTGGTCTCTGTCGAAGCCCGCAAGAAGCTTGTGCGGTGCTCCAGAGAAGAGCTTTGTGAGGGGCATTGTGCTCACCCCGCGGGAGCCACGAAGAGCCACTCTAGTTGAGCATGTCATTGAGCTACCCTCACTTTTGGGGTAGATTCTTGCGGTGCCCGACGTGCGGGCTTGGCGGGTGATGCCAATTAGCCGCCGAACCACCAAGTGAGCGGTCGACACAACAGGGACGTAGCGTGTTGGCAAGCACGTGAACCTCAGGAGAAAATTTACCGTGTCAACATTGTTCTTCTTGTTGGTTTGCAATCCCCTTACATAAGCTAGTGATTACTTTCATATACATTGTCCTTGTGTAGTTGCTCTTGTAATTAGTTAGCTTGTGTAGCTCACTAGTTACCTTCTTGCTTGTGTAGCATAGAAGTAGCTACCTTGCATGGCTAATTTGGTTTGTGTAACCTTGATTAGTCACATTACTTAGTTTGTGTAGCTAAGTATTTGCGCTCTCTAATTTGGCATTGGTTGCCTTGTTATTGAGCATTGCTAGTGAGCTTAGGTAGCTTTGTGTTTTTGCTTACTAGCATGTGTAGGAGCTCCCCGTTGCTTGAAATACTAGTGGCGTAGGTTTGTGTGACCTTGCTTCTAGAATTGGTTAGGTGAGCTCTAGCTAGCCTGGCACCTTTGTTGCTTAATTAGGATCTTTGCAAGGTCCTAGAGAACATAGATAGAGGGGTGTAGTCTTGGCTAGACCAATAGTTTTAATTCCGCACTTGTTTCGGTTAGCCGATGCGATTAAGTTTTAGTAATGACTATTCACCCCCCCCTTCTAGTCACCATCTCGACCCCACACACGTCAGAGGTCGCCACAGCCGTTGACTGCCCCCTGCCGTGCTGCCATGCATGGCACGGTAGCGTGAATTAGCCGCGCCATGCAAACAGGCGTGTCCAAAAGTGTTAGTTTTGAAAAAAAAAATTAAACAGTGTCAGTTTTAAAAATTGTTTAAAAAAGTGTTAAAAAATGCCACTTGGGTAATTGACTAATGGAACAGCATGGATTCAAATCTCCTTGTATCAATTAGTTCAGAAACTTGGGTTTTCTTTTGATTTTTGAAAATGTAAACATAGCTTAGCTCCTCAAATAATTCTCTCAAAATGCTCATATATGTGTTTGGTTCCTCACCAAGGCATATCATAGTGTTGCCTTCTTTCTTTCCTACTTCTAAAAAGCATATGTGGATCTTTGGGTGGGGAAAGGTATGAAGGCATACTTACTCTGCATATTTTGTTGAGTCAAAGCTCAGATCCAAGGAGAAAGATGTCATACCCTTAGATTAAGAAGTGCATGTGTGTGGATAAATATTTCTAAATCTATTCTATACTCCTTTTATGTGAGTGATCTCTCTTAGTGTCGGGGACCTAATACCAGGGTACCCCAGAAGGTGGAACCGATGACCACCGAACGTGAAAAACTTCTAGATGCATAAGGGCTTCATGTCATCCCTTGTTCGAGTGACAGGAGTTCGGTTCCGCCTCGCCCGACGCCTTGAGGGCGGGCTCGGTCTCGCCCGAGGGCTGAGGGATGAATTCCGTCTCGCCCGACCCCGGAGGGGCGGGGTCAGCCTTACCCGACGCCTTTGTAGGATAACCCTGCCTCGCCCCAAAAGCTCAAGGCTAATCTCCGTCTCGCCCGACGCCTATAGGGCGGGCTCGGTCTCGCCCGAGGGCCGAGGGATAAACTCCGCCTCGCCCGACGCCTTGAGGGCGGGCTCAGGCTCGCCCGAGGGCTGAGGGATGAATTCCGTCTACCCCGACCCCGGAGGGGCGGGGTCAGCCTCACCCGACGGCCCAGAACGAGCCTCGCCCTGATCGATATCTATCCCTCATAATGATGGGTACAGGACGAGACAAGACGTTCGGGTCAACCATGGCTCCAACGACCATACCCTGCGCCCTGGTAGGAAAAGGACTGCCAGGGAACGACAGGACTGAAGCTTTAGACCCTTCCGGGCGCCGTAGAGCCCAAAAGGTATTACAGGTGCATGCACCTCACCCTGTAGAGTTGTAGGCGCCGCCTTCAGCTCTGGGACACGGAACCCGACGAAGATATACGACAACCGCTACGCTCCAGGAAAGGATTTGCTATCTCCACGAACGATGGGTATTCCGTCACCACATGGTGGACCCGAGGGAGCGGCGCCCGCTTCCCGACCCCTCAGGTCCTCCCAGTCAGAAGGCCTTGACCACGGCGTTACGCCGGACCCCGACCCCGCATTCTCCCAACGAGGACTCATGAGAACCAGAAGGCGTGCGGAGCAAGGCTTGGGGAGGCTCATAAGTCAAAACCACTTGCAGCCCATACCCTGCGCAGGGCAGCATTCTGTGACTAACCTGACATCCTACAGAGACATCGACAACATTGTAAACACTTATCTTCCTTCGCACTCATCAGAGTGGAGGACCTGACCAAGTAGACGTGAGCCACAAGACTAAGTAGAGTACGCGGCCCCGGAGCCCTTACCCTTGTAAAGCCGGCCCTTCATCTATAAAGGGGATGCGCTTCTTCCATCAAGAGGGACGGAAGAAAAGGAGGACAAAACAATAGAACGCACTCACACACATTCAAGCGACTCTGAAGCTCTTGACCACCTTTCATTCCTTCGATCGAGACTTGGGACCAGTCCCTCTCTCGGCAGTTTGTATCCCTTACTACAGATCGTTACGGTGCTAATAACACAAGCAACAAAACCCCGGCGTAGGGACGTTTCACCCGAACCAGTATAAATCTGTGTGTCCTTTAGCGCACCATCCGAGCCTAACGCGCATTACTATAAATTCACTTGCGGTGCTTATACGAAAAACACCGGCGGTTAAGCGCCGCTGTAGGGGCTTTGCGCGTTCCAAACCAGTCTCGGATGACCACCCACGCAATCACACGGGCCTCGGGCGCACACGCGTGCGTTTGGTGACTGGATTTCATCATCACACTAGAAGGAGAGGCGCAGCGACTCACTCGGCGCCCCATCTCCCCTTCCATCAACCTCAGCCATCTCGGGCTTGAGGGTCCACCGGCAACTCTCGGGAGTCCCGTCACCCAAAGAAGCCTCTCACAACGCCACCATGTGTCCGGAAGGGTCCGTATGGAGCGCCCGACAGCGTTCCGTT